AATTATTTTTATTTTATAATTTAGTACTTTTCTTTATTCAATTATTTTCATTTTATCATTTAATACAATTTCAAATACCAAACAAAAGAATCTTTATCTTATTTAAAAGAAATTTTGAGTGAAAGGGTTTTATGGTAAATAAATGTGGTATGACAACATAGCTTTTGCCTTTTTTTTGAATTTATTCTGCATGGGGATACACGGGATCAGAGCTGGAGGCGTAGAATAGGTAAGAAATCCTGGAAGCAACCTCAACCAGTACAGAGTGCAGAGCGTAATGACATGTCAATCTTATCACACCATCTGTGTGGGAATTCCTTCCTATCCATAAACAATCAACGGCACGTGGCACTGACAGACGGTTGGACCTTTTCCTTTCTTTAATAGTTTAATTTTCTCACAGTTGACCAACTACCAGTCCTCACGTATTCTAACATCTTGGCTGAACGGCGAACGCTGTTCCATGAAGACAGGGGTGGGCGGAGTTGAAGCCAGCCGAAATTATAACTACTGTAATGAATTGGATTGATTGAAGTTTTAGGTCTTTTCGACTAACATTTAAACCGAATTGATCTCAGTTGACTCAATTTTTTATGGCTAGTGCTAGATCTTAAAAATTCAAAAATCAGTGGCTGCTCACACCTCCCTCTTGGGGTTAAGTGGTCTTTGGGTTACTTTAGAGGTGCACTCCTCCGCTCCTCCCCTCCTCCTCTTCCTGATGGGTTTGAGCTTGCTCTTTATCACTTGTTCAAAAAAGAAAAAAATCAGTGGCTGACCGAAAATAACATTAAAAAAAGAAGAAGCCAATGCTGTAACCTTTTATATATAATTTTTAATTTTTTGTTATTGTTTACTAAATTATTTATTATTTAGATAATTTTTATTTTTTAATGATTAAAATTATACGTAAAATACTACTGTAACAATTAAGAAATAAAAAATGAAAATAAATTTAGAAAAAAACTGAATTACAAATAATTATCTCTAAAAAATTAATTAAAAATTATAAAACTAGACTTTTTAATTTAGTTAACAATTTTTTTTATTTTGATTGCATAATAAGAGATAATTATTTTTCATATTTTATCTCATCTTACCCGCATATCATGCGATTCGAATTCAGAATCTTTTATTTTCAACTAAAAGAGATAATCACTTAATTGTTTAGATTATTGATAATTTAATTAACAAGTTTTAAATATCTAATAACCAAAAATTTGATTAATTGATAATTTAGTTTGGATTTTAAACCAAACCATGCACACTTCTAGACCATGTTAAAACCATAATCCTTCCAGGTTCATTGAATTTTTATACTCCTACTAAGATTGGTATTGTTTATTTTTTATAAATGAATAATAAATTAAAAATTATTTTACTAAGACTAGTATTCACATGAACAACCGGCAAATCGATCCATGATTTGATTATTATTACCGGACTCTTCATGGCCAGCCTGCCATTTCTGATTATTTCTTCCATTTTTAATTCCACTACTTAATTTATCCCCCCATTTTTCATGCCATATGTTACACTGTATTCCGACCGGCCGCCTTTTTGGAAGATTTCTAAACTACATTTATCTTATTTGTTAATGAATGTATACTGTCATTTAAACAGAACAAGAGAAATCGAAAAAAATTACGTCCAATGAGCTGTAACTTTTGACATGATATTAAATCGTGAAAAACTTACCATATAAACCTAATTTATGGCGAGTATTCTTATATAAATTAATGGTAAAAAAATATAATTAATATTTTTTAAATTTATGTCTTAAAAATATATGTTAGATAAATTTATTTTTAAAAGTTATTTTTAAAATATCAGTTTTATTTTGTCTAAGTATAAAAAAATACTTCATAATTATAATTATTAATTGATAAATAACAAAATAATTGATGTTTATTAGTATTTAACATATAAAAATCAGTCTACACAATAATATTTTCAAGTACTATAATTGATCATTTATTAAAAAAATTTGTGTGACCCCAATTACTTGTTACGTAGCCTTAACCACTTCCAAATTTATGCAGAGCAACTAAATAAAAATAACTATATAAAAAAGTATTTTACCGTTTATATTATACCAAATTATAAAATATTAAGTATTAAATAATAAAAGGCCTATTAATAATGAATACATGCCTCTTATTTAGTAATTAATATTTTTTAATTTGATATAATTTAAATAATAAAATATTAAATATAAATAACTACATAATTTTTTTAAAAAGAATTCATCTATTACAATATAAATTGTACATTAAAAGTACAATTTATCATATAAATTTACAAAAATGTTCTTAATAAAATAATATAAAAAATAATTTTATTAAAAATATTTTAATAAATTTATAAGATAAATTATATTTTTAATATATAATCCATCTTATAATCTCTTTTAAATACCTTCATTTTTTTGGGTTTAATTATCATTAATTAAAAAATATTAAAAATAGGGTACTCTTGTTTTTTTTTTTTTTTACAATTTATCAAGAAATAAGTTTAAGCTCATCCATAAAAAAAAAAAGAAAAGAAATGCACCACATAATGACAGGGTGTCATTTAACTCGAAAGACCGGGTGCAGGTATTCTTGTTTTTATTCATCTAAATATTGAAAAGTTAATCAATTCAGTTCCAATTTCTATAAGTTGTCAACCTGAGTTTGGAACCTGATCCTTCAGGTCAAGTGGCTCTAGCCACGTTTTTAAGGTTCATATCCCCCACCCCAAGGGTAACGATTCGAACCGGCCCCATGCTAAAAATGTTTTAAAAAAAAAAAACCTGAGTTTGATTTGTCGGTGTCACCGACAGCCTCCGAGGAACGTACAGCACTACAGCTTGTGAACCAAGCAAAATGATTTAAGATCTGAATTAAATAATAAAAATAAACATTAAGGGACAATACTTTTGTTCCAAGAATATTGATAGGGAAGGAAGACCTGTTAATGGAATCTCTTAAGCATCAGAAAAAAATATGCCCGGCCCGTCGGTTATTAAAAGGTTGTTTTCATGTATTCTACATTTCCTCTGTCCTCTTTTCAGACATTATTAAATATTTTATTGATTGTTTTGGTCACGATCTGACTTGCGATATTTAGGATGTCACAATATATGTTAACTAAACTCGAAGAGGAAACTTCTTTGCTTCGCTGTTAATCATTCTTATTGTAGGACCAATTTTTAAAGCATTTGTAATCAAATATATACGCATCTTCCATATATGCTTTTCAATGCATCTAATTGACATCTAAACTTTCAATCAAGCACAATAACTTGTTAATAATGTTATATTAGTTCACTAATAAGATTAAATTCTTGGAGGAGGCCAATGAATAAATTTTTCTAGTTTGAAGGTACATTATATATATATATATTTTAATTTACAAAATTAAAAAATAATTAATTTCAAAATATGTCCAAACTAATTTAAAAGATAAAAGTAAAATCTATGATTGATATTTTAAATATTAGAAATTTTAAAATATATTTAATAATTTTTATATAATATTAATTTATTAAATTTATTAAAATTTTTATTATTATTTCCATTATTTTAATTACTAAAATATTATGACTTTTCTCAATTTCAATATAAAAATACCCCTAATTTATTTTTAAAAATTACTAATTTAGACCGTAGGAGTAACTTTAACCCTAACAAAATACTTATATATGGGCAAATTTGAAAATCGAGATACCAGCTTTGGGATTTATCATTTTCAATGTGTGTAGCACTTTGAATCTTCTGTACTTGTCTGGCTTTTAATAAACTAGCGTCGAGGCTTGCGTTGCAATTTTCGATACATCACGGAACACATGGTCGTTAGCATTTTGAATTTCTATACATTCCGTCCTTTAGCATATATCTTTTCATGGTCCTTTATTTTATTTTCGAAAGAGTAATGATCTACGGGATAACGTTGCAGGCCGATTTTAAGGAATAATAAGTGAAGTAGTCTTAACAGTAATTATCAATTTGACTTTGCTTTACTTGTCGTCTTTCAAAATCAGCCCGCAACGTTATCCCACGTATCAATACTTTTTTTCGAAAAGATGAAGTTATAAAATTTACTTTCGGAATCCACTTACGAGTTACGAAGGGAGAGGCATATTCATCCAAATGTCTGATTTCATTCTCCACAGATGCTTATCCTTTAAATTTTTTATGGCAAGGCAGTATTCTTGATGAGAATACAGAAAATATAAAAATTAAGAAAATTTAACATTAAAATATTAAAATATTTATTTTTTTATATATTTGATTCTAAATTATATAAAAGATTATAATTATTTTGTATTTTTAAGTCTTTCTCCAATTGATTTAAAATTTAAATTTGAGATTTTTAATTTTTTAACCATTAAATCATTATATTAAAGTTTTAAAAAATATTTAATTCAATTATATGATAAATAAGATTTTAGTAAAATATAGGTTATGTTCCACTAATTTTATAACTATGATAAAATATTTTAATTTTTTATATTTTCTATGTCTCACACACATATATCTATGTATATAAAGAGTATGACTGTATGAGACTACAAGACACCAGTCCTATAATCAGTGAGGCTCCTCCCATGGAGTTTGAGATGGGCCTTCTCAAGGACGAGGATTGTGGGAGTTGGGAGGGGCCACAGCCCCTGAAAAATTTCACGGCCCCTGAAAATTTTCAAAATCCTTAACGTTTTAGATGGACATTTTATTTTTTAAGTTAATAACATCTTTACAAAATTTTAGCTCATATTATAACTTTTATCAAGATTAAAGTGTTTGCAATCCATATAAAAGCAGTTGCAAATTAAACACTATCTCAAAATAAAGTTTTTGTCTGAAGGCAAAGAAGTCGAAAAATTTTATACCAAAATTAGTGGTGAAAGACTTGGGCCAAATATTAGTCTGAATTTTCTTTAACTCTTGAATCATAATGTCTTTTTGGTTTAAAAAGATAGATCTGTATGCGCGAGAAAGTGACCAGTTATCGATTAAGCCTGACGTGTAGAGTACAATGCATGATGGAGATGCCTTGGAAAAATATCTACATTTAAAACTTGGGTCTCAACACCATGGAAAGCCAAATTAAAACAAGAAAATGGTCCCCAGGGTCCAGGAACATAACCAGAATTCCAAAAGGGTTCGAACTTTCTTAATCTTAATGCACTTTTTTTTTTTTCAAAGAGAAAAGGAAAAAAAAAAAAAGAAGAAGGAAAGAACCGGTTTTCATGTTGAAAACTTGAAATTGAGGCTTTTGTTAGGTATTATGGTACACAACAATTTTTTCAAGTAACACCTTATCTAACATATAAATTTATTATGATTAGTACTACTATTTTGTAGTAATATATTTTAAATAAATTTAATTAATGTTTTTTTTATGATAACAAAAGACAAAAATTTACTACCTATGGTAACATCAAACAAAACCTTAAACCAATATCCAGTTCAAACTTTAAAGATTTCCAAATGAAATATAGATCCGGCTCCATCTAGAACAAACTATATGACTCAATTTGGTTCTCCTCAGTGACCCAAAACCATGTTGCTTTCCTAGAGGACAAACCGTGACATATATGAGCAGTAACATGATATAGATGCTGTTGGCATAAATAGCAATTGGCCTGCATAGTAATTGGCCAAATTATCGTCATGAAAATGTTTCTTCACCGGTATGGTTAGGGTTTGAACACTCATTCTCTATTCACCTTTCTCTACATGAGAGTTTTAACCAATTAACATATTTCATTAAAAAAATAATATATATGCTGTTACTATGAATGTTTTGAAAGAAATGGTAGTATGATAATTAATTATGGACCTAACTCTATGACAAACAATAACAATTATTTACTTTTTCCAATAAAAAAATCAACATTAGAGCAATTAGGTAGCACTTCTAGAAACACATCAAATGTGAAATGATGTCATTTGAATTGGAACATGATCTCTTTTCAATGTTCTGGGGCAGAATTATTATTATTTATTGTTTTGAATATTAAACAAACGTTAACCATAGCCCATGGTGAAGATTTTGTAGTCCTGTGTTGTTAATCTAATCCGTTGATTGAGGTCATATGTCTTTGTTATGCCGTGTGGCACAGCGTTTTTTTTTTTTTTGAACGGTTAAAGTTAATTATTAAAAGCTAATGTGAGTTGGTCGGTCAAGGTGCCACAATTCTCATGTGAATTTTTAAGTTCTACAAAGATTTTTTTGTTGCTTCCAAGTGGAGAGGTCAAGAAGAAGGGCCGTGGTCCAAGATCTATTATTTTCCACGCAGAAAATTTCCTTCCTGTTCACCAAGGCCGTGTCCCATGCAATAGACTTTTGTGTATGGTGTAGCCACACTAGGCTCACTTTTACAATTCGTCATTGGACTGGGCCTAAACGAAAGAGATACTTCTTGAGTCTTTGACCCATTCTCATGGACCATCGATAATTCGAAATCGATTAGATTAACCTTTTCATATTACATGGAAGAAGACAAAATGCCACTTTGAACAGGACCAAGTCTCTCACTTTCCCCATTTTAAAAGTCAAATATCTGGGCCGACAGCGTAATCTAATGGCAAATTTTTTTTTTTTTTAACTCTAATCTAATGGCAATTTGATTTCAGCGGAAGTAAAGAGTTTTAGGTTGGAATCTCAAGATATGTGGGTAAAAATGATTAAATGATGAAAATAATTATTTTTATTTTAGAAATTAAAAAAAAAAAATCGCATTTTTGGGTTAAATTTCTTTTGATAATTAGTACTACTATACTATTTGGGTAAAATGCTGGGAAAAACATCTTCGAAGAATAGATTTTTTATGATCCATCTTTGAAGAATATTTTCAAAAGTAATACTATTGTTGAGTCATAAAATGTTGGGACCAAGTCATTCACTTTCGTATGTCTTTTTAATTCTATTTTTTCTGGTAAAGTACTTTTCTTTTTTGATATCAATTGTCTTTTTATTTATTTATTTAAGGTTGAATGACAAAAGTTGTTTTTTTTTTTCCTTTTTTTGTTTTTTTTTTTTTAATTTTTTTTTTCCTCCGTCCTACTCTTTTTTTTTTTTTATTGTTTTCCATTTTGGTTGGGGGGATTTTTTTCAATTTTTTATTAAAATTCAAACTTTGGTTCATTAATTTTAGTTCTTTCAAGCTTTGGGTGGATTCTTTAATTTCAAGGTTTCGTTTTCTTTTTTTTCTTTTTTTTCTTTTTTTTTTTTTTTAAAATATATCGAATGTTAGTTACTTATTGTTAGTAAAGTTTAAATCCTTAAATTTTAGCTCTAAAATTAAAAATTTTAAGTGAGTTATACTAATTTGATCAAATTATTGACATTACCCGGTTATACTTTTATTTAAAGAAATTATTAATCTACTTAAATTGTTATCACTATACCATTACGCCTTGTTTGACCATTATTACAACCAAACAATATACTTCCAGCTCAGAATTAAGAGGCACAGACATGATTTTTCTATGCCTTTTTTAGTTAAACACATTTACATTCACATTATTATCTTAAACCATAGTATTATGATTACTTGCTGCGTCCTCGCTGTTATGTTCGGAATTAAGAGAATATCTTAATAAAACGGCGCCGTATATTGAAACCTTCACCGCTTAGATCATCGTAAATCTTGACGCGCTTACGATCGGACGGTTGGGAACCGAATCCCAAAACCTAAACATTTTTGTTCCGATATATCCTTCCCTTAAAAATCATTTTTTTTCCAACGGCCGACCGGTGCTGACGTACTCCAGACGCTTCTCTTCCCTCCTCCTTTCCTCCTTTCGCACATCTTCCTTTATTCAGATCTCACTCCACCCTCACCTGATCCGGTACTGCTTCCCCCGCAACTCCACCGGAATGTTATTTATTCTTTCAATTTGATCACTTTCGCCTTTCTGGGTTCGTCGTTTACGTTCTGACGTTTTTTTTTTTTGGTCTAGGGTTTCGTTGATCTTTGGCTTTGGATTTTGTTATGGCTGCTCCACCTGCAAGAGCTCGAGCCGATTACGATTACCTCATAAAGCTCCTCTTGATCGGCGACAGCGGTATGGTTTCGCATCTTTAGCCCTGTGAAATTGTTTATTTCTGTCGATCTCGTTGTGTATTCAACTGATTCGTCCCCTTTTGGGGCGTGATTTGCATTTGAGGTTATTTTCTGGCTAGAGTCTGAGCTTAGTAGTAATGGCACAATGGTTGAATGCGTTCAGTTCTTAGCACTGGCATATGTTTGTGTGTGTGTTTCTTTAGGTTAGTTGTGAGGATTAATTTAGAGATTAATGTTATTCTGTCATCGTGGTATGAAGATTATGTTTTATGTTTTTATCATGTTTAGGAAACAAGATTAAGCTATTACCAAATTTTTGTTATAAATTTACCTATTCATGTAATTATCATCTTTAATACTTCATTGTATTATGTGCAACTTTTATTAGTGCTGACCAAAAACCAGAAATAATTGTTGACTTGGATCACTTGGGCTATGTAAACTGCAGGGCTGTGAGAAGCAGAGTGATGATAATCTTTTCTAATGTTTATGCTTTTCTCTTGAAGATTTGTGCATCAATGTATATGGGTTTGAATGCTGAATCTCTGTTGACGTTTTATATCATGTGAATGGACAGGTGTGGGTAAAAGTTGCCTCCTTTTGCGTTTCTCAGATGGCTCCTTCACTACTAGTTTTATAACAACTATTGGGTGAGTGGCCATCCATGCACTTGGGACCTGAAGATATTTCTTCCAGGAATGCATGTCATTTACTGTGGTTAAGTGTTTTTTTTTTTTTTTTTTCTGGAATAGCATTGACTTTAAGATAAGGACCATTGAGCTTGATGGAAAACGAATCAAACTGCAAATCTGGGATACTGCTGGGCAAGAGCGATTTCGTACAATTACAACTGGTTAGTTTTGTGCTCTGAGGATGCTACTGACTACTGAGTAGAGTTAAAATGTCTGACCATTGTTCTACTTTATCCCACTGTCTAAAAGATGAAATAAATGGGTTTTTATAAATTCTGATATTATGTTTCCATATTGATGTTTGTAAACATGAGAAGATGTTTCTTCCCCCTCCCACCCCCCCCAAATTTCTGAAACATTTCTTTGTTTTGTTTGCATGGCTGAGTACTAAGTTTCTACTGGCAATGGCAATGTTGCACAGTGCCATACTGTTTTGGTGAATGACATACTTCAATGGTTCATTAGTTTGTCTTAACACATTACTTGGTCACCCAACAAACCTCCCAAGCTAAAAATGAAACCCTAGTTTGATAGGTTTAGCCTGTAGGTAATCATGCGTGTAATCCCCCTCCCTGGCATACAGTAGAATTTTGTATTGCTAATTGTTGGGAAATCAGATTCAAGGTCTCAGCTGATGGCTAAAGCTAAGCATCTAGCTTTACTAAATATTAGGTTTGCTTAATTTTCAGACTTCAGGTTTAAGGTCTCTATAGGTTTGCTGAGCATATGGCTTCTATTTTATCTACATTGAATTTCAGTATCTAGATAGTTTGTGTTGAATCTTTTATGGTACTAAGACTCAAATGATTTTCTCCTTTGCAGCTTACTACCGTGGAGCCATGGGTATCTTGCTTGTTTATGACGTCACTGATGAGTCATCTTTCAATAGTAATTACTCTACTTTTCATGCTTCTAAGTTTTTGCTGTTACATGTGTTGTTTGGTCATTTTTAACTTTGAATCTTTGAACTGTGCCCTCATTTTTGGAAGTGTCCTGGTTTTCATCAAACTTTGTATTAACATTGGAGATTACTTTTCATTTTCTTTCTATTAGTTGTGCAAAAATTGTACTTCTAGATGGATTTTCATCAAATTTATGGTGAAATTTTAGTCTTTCTAATTTTCTTCTGTTTATTGTACCGATCTCCTTTCTTCGTTTAGACATCAGGAACTGGATTCGGAACATTGAACAACATGCTTCTGACAATGTCAACAAAATTCTGGTGGGTAATAAGGCCGATATGGATGAAAGCAAAAGGGTTAGTTCTCTCTCTCTCTCATGCTTGTATATTCGCCCAAATATTGTACTTATCAAGATGACAAAGCAACCTTTTTTTGTAGGCTGTCCCTACCTCAAAGGGTCAAGCTCTTGCTGATGAATATGGCATCAAATTCTTCGAAACTGTATGTAAATTTTATCTGCTAATGATAAAGTTACTTTCAAAAATTTGCTGTCCTCTATGTATGCTGAAGATGCTTTGATTTACAGAGTGCAAAGACGAACTTAAACGTTGAGGAGGTTTTCTTTTCCATAGCTAGGGATATCAAGCAAAGACTTGCAGATAGTGACTCGAGGGCTGAGGTAGGAGTCTTGATTCTTGAAGTGTCATTCATTATCGCTATTTAGAAATACATGACGGGAACTGCTTTGCATTAATATCTACCCTTATCATATCACTAGGATGCCATCTGTAATTGGATTCCCAATTTTTTTATCACAATTATGGAATCCCTTTTTCCTTCATTCTTGGCTTTTATTATGCTCTGATTGAATTGTCATGATATCCTGATGTATCAGCCGGTTTATGCTGGCCCACTGATGGGCTCCATTATAATATATGGTTTCCACTTAAAAGGGACCCACCTTTTTTTTTTTCTGTAAAGACACCCCACGTTTTTTTTTTCTGCAAAGGCGCCCTCATTAGCATGGATGAAAAATGTAGAGGGGTGGTGGAGAGAAGTTTATTCAATTTGAATTATCGACATGGTTCATGATTTGTCCTGTACACTGTAGTCATGTAATGCTTTTTTGGGATATTTGCAGCCGCAGACAATCAAAATTAACCAACCCGATCAAGCAGGAGGGGCTGCTCAAGCTGCTCAAAGGTCAGCATGCTGTGGTTCTTAAGCAAAACCATGTTGAGAACCGGATCTGAAGGCAATATTCTCTAGGGAGCCATCATGGTCGAAAACTAATTTTGTTACAACTATGTTCCTGTTTGTATTGCTCTGCCTCATTATTTCGTAATCCATATCTGCTACACTTTGGGTGTGAATGTTAGATTCTTGGTATTTTTTCAAAATTAATTATATTAGATTATTTTTCTTCAACCCATTTCCTCCGTGCTTTGAATACATAAAGCTCAATTTCATTCATCATTTTGACTTCCATTTATAGAATTAACTCGTTACCCGATTTGGTGGTAATGGGAGACAGGCACTGGGGTGCTCATTACTGTTTTCAATTACATGTGGTCGATAATTGGTTCTAAGCTGGACTCCATTCTTCGGTTGAGCAATTGTTCCTATTGAGGCAATCATCAAGCACTCTTTTTCGCTACCCTTCATCAGAGGACAGGCAACAAAACAGGAGTCTCTTTGGATAAAAGCTATACACACCTTATGAAATTCAACACTACTTTACTTATTAGGAATTGTTGATAATTTAATCATTTTTGACTAAAGAAAACAGTTCCTACTAACTATAACCAAATAGAACTCCGTTTATATATTTTACACATCTGTATTCCCGTACTCTCATTAAACACACTCCAAAATAGTGTGCGTGTAATCCGTCCCTCTTCTCGAGCTTTTTTCCCTTTTGCGTTAATCACACCCCCTTAGTCACCTCCTATCAAACTCTAATCCTTTAAGTGTGATATGAAACGAGGTTCATCACGCGGAAGCTCGGAAAGCAAGAACAGAGGTAATGGGGTCACTGCTTTGAGGAAGTGCGCATACACGAAGCAGAACGGTACAGAACAAATGAAAGTTGCAATCCACGGAAAAGGAAGCCATTCAGTGCTCGATTCAAACTTGACCATGTTATCAGAAACAAATCAACAGTAAAGTAGAAGAAAGATAAGAAAGTGATTTTCATGTTGGCAAAAGCAAGAAACCGTCATCCAATAATGGCATTGGATTTTTCTCCAGTTTGTGGTCATGACTTAATTCTTTTGCTACCAGCCTACCACTGTGCCTTAATAATGCAGAAAACAACACTTGGTTTCAGGTCTCGAACTAACATCCTTTTTCTTACAATAATGCACCTTTTGTTTCCATAATTTCTTATCTAGAGTGGGATTGTAAGACCACTCACGTCTAGGATTATATCATAAGCACTTGCGGGGAATCTCTTTATAATGGGGTCTCGATTGTCCCCATAAAAAGTATTCATAGAGGACATTAGTCATAGGACACTACTTAACAACTTTCTCAAAAAAAAATTACAATAGTGACTCCATGAAGCCCGTGACTCGTCTTCCATTTTAAAACAACTAGCACTATAATATGGTTTTTTTTAAATAATAAGTACTACTTCAATTCAATTTTAGTTGTTTTATTTTTTATTTTTATATATACCTAAATAATTTAGAGATTAGTCAAAACTCCTTAATAATATATATTAAGATGATATATTTATCCCAAACAAAATTTTATTATTTTTATAAATAAATTAAAATAATAAGAATATAGTTAAAATAATAATATTTAATATTTCATATAAATAAAAAATATCACAACTAAATTAGAAAAGGGTGCCATATATAAAATTAAATAACCCCAGTCCCAGGTACAAAAAACCCCAGTCCCAGATACAAAAAAAAAAAGCAGGACCAATAATTATACTAGTACGTATTAAAAAAATATCAATAATTCAGTAGCTTTAAAAAGGCATTGACCTAGTTTGCAGAAAAGAGCCAATTAGTACAAAAAGTAAATTGCGTGCGCAAGTTGGTTCAACCAAAATCAAAATAAAAACTTTATTTTGTATAAAGAAGTTGCCTGTTTAATTTCGCAGACGTTTAAATTTTTTACCATACTACCGAACTACAATAACTGAAATACTACGATAATTAAATAAATGGACTCGAGAGGTTCCATTAAAAAAGAATGGACACATGAGATATGAGTTCAGGGCAAAAAAAAAAAAAAATGTTGATATCAGCAGCATATTCGTACTTAGTGGGAGTAGAACAACCTCTCTATATAACTAGCAAGGATCCACTACAACCACAAAAAAATTCTCATGACAGCACTAGAGAATCACCAACTGTTCTTATAAATTGGCAACAGAATCAAGTGTAAACTCATACCACATACTCAGAGTTTTGTAGATATGGATTCATTTGCTAAGATTAAGCCATACCTTGCTGCTATTTTCCTGCAAGTAGGTCTTGCAGGGATGGATGTCCTGTCTAAGGCGGCACTGAACCAGGGGATGAGTAACTACGTGCTTGTTGTCTACCGCCATGCAGTTGCCACCATTGCCATGGCCCCCTTCGCCGCCATTTTTGACAAGTCTGTCTTTCTGTCCCTTTGTTGTAAATAATTATGGTACTGAAAGATGAGTGTGGAACTGAAATAGAATGATTTTTGTTGTTGATTGCAGGAAGGTTAGGCCAAAGATGACAGTTGCAATCTTCATCAAGATAATGGTGCTCGCCTTATTGGAGTAAATACCTGATTTAGAAAAGTCAAAATTCCTTGGTTGTTTATGCTAAAATTTGTAAAAATATCTGTATCAACTTCCTTGCAGGCCAGTGATTGATCAGAACTTATACTACGTGGGAATGAAATACACAACAGCGACCTTTGCATCTGCTATGTACAATATTCTCCCTGCCATCACCTTTCTCTTAGCTTGGATCGTTAGGTAAATACTAAAGTTTCATTCAGTATTATTGTTGTTTCTGGTTTCTAATTTGCTTATATCATGTAATTAAATTAGAAAAATAGCAGGCTAATTAATAGTTGTCTCGTTATTCGCAGACTTGAGAAGGTCAAGATCAAATCAATCCACAGCCATGCTAAGGTGGTCGGGACGATATCAACAGTAGCAGGAGCAATGGCGATGACAATGATGAGAGGACCCAGGATCCCATTAAGTTGGACAAAAGAAGGCACAGCACATGAACAAGCAACAAATGGGACTGATGTCCATAGTTCACTTAAAGGTGGTCTAATGATTACTGCTGGCTGCTTCAGCTATGCTTGTTTCGTGATTCTGCAAGTAAGATTACACTTACAATTACCCCACCATATATTAAGATTTTGCAACTATTGTAACCATTTTTTGCTTGCACTTTAATTAGGCAATGACACTAGAAACATACCCAGCCGAGCTCTCTCTTACAGCTTGGATTTGTCTTATGGGCACGGTTGAGGGATCCATTGTGGCCTTAGTGATGGAAAGGGGGAAAGCCTCTGTCTGGGCTATTAACTGGGACACCAAATTAGTCACAGCTATTTACAGTGTAAGAAATCTGGTCTAAAACAAACATTTATAGATGATTTTCTTAAGACTCAAGTCACGGCTGATTTGTTTTTGCAGGGAATTGTCTGTTCTGGGCTTACTTACTACATTCAAGGATTAATAATGAAAGATCGAGGGCCTGTTTTTGTGACTTCTTTTAGCCCACTATGCATGGTTATCGTAGCTGGCTTGTCCTCCTTTATTTTGGCTGAACAAATGTTCTTCGGAAGGTACGCTAATTCCACAATATATTTAGGCCTGTTTGATTTAGCCATTGATAGCTAAAGCTATCGTTGCTGTCAGGACAATAATGGTGTTTGAATTAGAGGTCATTAGTCGAACTTGTCTTGAAAAGACGGAATAAAAAACTAGCCAATTTCATATTGGACAGGTTAATCGGTGCCATTATCATAATTGTGGGGCTGTATCTTGTGCTGTGGGGAAAAAGCATAGATTACAAATCGTCCTCACCAACCTTGGAGGAGGACATAGAAACATCTAAATCGAAAACAGAAGAAACCTTTCATCATGAAGTCATCAACATTGATGGGACCAGGGATGGGAAATCACCTGAGAGTGGTAATCAGATTATTGTCTGATCTAGCAGCTTTGAATTCAAGGCAATATCATCACTTCCAAGGCGACAATGGCACTATACTTATCCAGACATAATCCAATAAGATAGTGGTTGATGATGCAGAGTATCATACTGGGAAGTGACATGTGGGAATATCAGGCAGGATTTGATTACTCACTCCCACCAGATTAGTGCCAGTACTGTTAATGGATGTGATTCCATTTTTCCTACAAGTAATTAAACTAATTAAATTTTCATAATTTATACAAGGTGCCATCCCAACTACTCCCTCTGTCTCAT